CCCCCCCCCCCCCCCCCCCCCGCAAATAAAATGACAAACTGATTCAAAATTTATATGGAAATGTAAGGGATCCAAAATAATCAGTCTTAAACAAGAAAAAATTGAGGACTCCTTTTTCCAATTTTAAAACTTATTGCAAAGCCACAGTAATCAAGATGATGTGATATGGCATAAAAATACACATACAGATTAATAAAATAAAAATTGGTGTCTTAGCCAGGCACAGTAATGCATAATTCCAGTGGCTTGGGAGGCTGAGGCAGGAGGATTCTGAGTTCAAAGCCAATCTCAGCAACTTAGTTAGACCTTGTCTGTAAATAAAATACAAAAAAGGGCTGTGGATATGGCTCAGTGGTTAAGTGACCTGAGTACAAAACTGGTACACACACAAAAAAAGATGTCTACAAATAAAAAATATCTGCCCCCCCCTTTTTTTTTTTAAAGTACTGGGGTTTGAACCAAGGGGTACTCTACCACTGAGCTGTATCCCAACCCTTTTCTTTATTTTGTATTTTGACACAGGGTGCCTCTAAGTTGCTGGTCCCAAATTTGTGCTTCTACTGCCTGAGCCTCCTGAGTAGCTGGGATTACAGGTGTGTGCCATTCTGCTGAATTATAAGCCCTTACTTCTCTGGTCAGCTGATTTTCAATAAGGGTGGCAGACAAGCTGGGCATGTGGTGCATAGCTATAATCCCAGTTACTTGTGGCTGAGGCAGGAAAGACTGTAAATTCAAGGCCAGCCCAGGTAACTTATGGAGACTCTGTCTCAAAATGAAAAATAGAAAGGGCTGGATTTAGCTCAGGGGTACAGTGCCCCTGGGTTCAGTCTCCAGTATTGTCAAAAAAGATGGCAAGACAATTCAATAGGGCAAGAATAAAGTCTTCAAAAAATAGTGCCAGGATAAATACATGTTCACATGCAGAAATATAAAGTTGGATCCCTGACTCACACCATAATACCAAAGTTAACTGAAAATGGATCATAGACTTAAATATACATGGCAAAACTGTAAAAATGGGTCTATTTAATAATGATAATTATGATAGAGTTATAGGTGGTGATGATGACGATGATGATGAGGATGATTTTTGGTGGTCCTGGGATCAAACCCGGGGTGCTGCACCACTGAGTTACAGCCCCAGCTCTTTTTAGTTTTTATTTTGAGATAGGGGCTCCATAAATTGCCTGGCCTGGCCTCAAACTTTTGATTCTCCTGTCTCAGCTTCCTGAGTCACTGAGATTACAGGTGTGGACCATTGTTCCTGGCCCACATATGTATACTTAGTCATTTGTTTACATCAGTTTTGTTCACTGCTCTATCTTCAGTCCCTATAGTAACTGAAAATAACAGATACATATTTTTTGCATGGACAGTGTTGGTTATTATTAATTACTGAATAACAAGCCTTCATTTGTTTTTTTATGTGGTCATGATTTAATTGGCATTGTTTCTTAAATTACACCTTGCTACCTTCTTAGCAAGGTACCAACTTTGATTCAGACCTTAACTCTGTCTTCAGTTACAAATGACCGTAAACCAATCTGGTACAAGAATTTCTTAGATTACATAAAGATAAGAAGTTATCTTTATGTAATTTTAAGGTATTAAAACCTCTTGAACATGTTCTTCTGAAACTTTAGGCTGAATGACTTTTCTGAAATGCCTTTCACTCAGGAATGGAAATAGATTTTAGAAATAGTTGTATTAATTTTAAACTGTTAGGCAGAATTGCTGCTGACTTCCGTTTTCTGAGGCTAATATACTTTCATAGTTGTTGTGAATATCATAGTGAAGTTAGGAGGTTTAGTAATTAATTTAAGTTTAAATATTCTAAAATTTACTGGAATAATTGATCGTGTGCAAAAGTAGTTATTGACTAATTTTTCCAAAGACAAATATAAATCTTCTGTTAAAGTTGAATGTATAAATGGGCATTAAAACTGCATAAAGGGAAACATCCTAACTTACTGCATTTATTTTATTTCAGGGCTGAACACAGTGAAATCACTTACAGAGTTGGAAGGCTATTAAGAACACAAGATGGGGACTCCTGGTTCTGGAAGGAAACGAACACCTGTGAAAGATCGATTTTCTGCAGAAGATGAAGCTTTGAGTAACATTGCCAGAGAGGTGTGTCTGGTAAACTCCTTCTCAACACCAAGTTACACAGATGAGAGTATTGTAAAAGTGTGGGGGTGACATATAGATACTCATTCATTGAGCTAGTTTCAGAATGTTTACTATGAATAAGATATTGTTAGCCTCTAAAATACTGTATTAGAATAAAATATACTTAGATAGCTATTCACCTCACCTGCGTTAATTTTTCATTATATTTTGAGTTCAAGGTATTGTCCTAATGTATTTAAATTTATAATTAATCTTCAGGATTTAAACTTAGGGTAATTAATTAGAATGTTGGAGATGTAACTATTGAAATGCTCATTTGACTGTAGTTCCAAGAGGTGCTATGTGAATTTTGACAGAAATAGTTCTTATTTGGTGCCTATTCAGAGTTTTTAAGTTACTTATTTTTAAAAAAAAATATTTATTTTTTAGTTTTAGGTGGATGGACACAATGTTTTTATTTTATTTTTATGTGGTGCTCATACATGCTAGGTGAGCACTCTACCACTGAGAAACAACACCAACCCCTTTAAGTTATTTTTTTGAAATACTGAAGTGGAATTTTTTTTCCAAGTCTTTTTTTTTTTTTTTTTTTGGTGGTGGTACTGGATATTAAATTCAGGCAAGGCATCACATATGCCAGGCAAGCGCTCTACCACTGAGCTACATTCTCAGCCCTGTGGTAAAATTTTTTGTTTAATTCTTATAGTAGCAGAGCTTCTGGAGCATTGTTTGTTTGTTAATAATTCAGAAAAAGAAAATAAGAAGCGGTGTCACCTGTTAAATTACTAGCAGCAATTCCTTATATAATGGATATTTAAGATAACTTCCACCTTGGATTTCTTAGCAAGATACCAACTTGATTCAGACCTCAACTCTGTCTTCAGTTACAAACTGACCGTAAACCAATCTGGTACAAGAATTGCTTAGATTAGCATTAAATTATATTCTTTTTGTGAGAGTTATTCCCATATCACTTCTTTGTTCTTAGTAAATAACTTATTTATTATTAATGCTGTTTTCTTTTTTTTAATTGATCTATATTTTTCCTCTTAAAAGCTGTTTAGTTTGCTTTTGAATTAGAAACCAAATTTTCTGCAGTCATATATAGTAAATAAAAAATAAAGGATTCTCCAAAAAAACCAAAACCAAAAACCAAATCTTGAAGAGTATATGAAACAAAAGTTATTTAAAAACTGATAACAAATTTGTGATGTTACTTTTTCCTTTAATACTCTAAAATTCTATATTTAAATGCTGATGTTTAGCCTTAAATTTTAAATATACTTTTAAAAATTACATTATAGTTGTACAATAAGCCCATAGTGGGACTAATTTTAACATATTCATAAATTCATGTAACATGATTTTCTTCATTTCAATCCCCATGATATTACTTTAACAAAACTAGTTAAAGAAGTTCATGATACTACTTTAACAAAATTACTTTAAAAAAAATTAAATGAGACATTCTTAGCTTTTTTTTTTGTGTGTGTGTGTGTGTGTGTTGTGCTGGGGATGAAACCAGGACCTTATTCATGCACACAAGCTTTATCACTGAACTATGCCCCAGTCTGATGACATGTTTTTAGATAAAAATACAAAAGACATTTAAAAGTGAAAAAGTAGATATTATGTTTCAATAATCTTAAGTATCTGCACAAATGAAACATTTTGGAAGCCACATTGTTTTACTTAAAAATTGAAACTTCTCAAAATATTTACTTCCAAATTTGGAGGGCTAAATGAGAAGAAAATGCCAGCGTCATCTAGGCTTCTTTTGTATTTTTACTAAGTATTTGACCCCCCCCCCCCCCCTTTTTTTTTTGTCTGGTGCTGAGAATCAAACTCATGGCTTCATGCATGCAAGGCAAGTGCATTACCACTGAGTTACACCTCAGCCTCCCTCCTTCCCCTTTTTTGATGTGATCCTTTCTTTTAAAAGTTGGGTTGGAGTCTAATATCCAATATTGGTGAGTCCTTACTTTATGACAAATATTAACCTAAGCATTATTCATACATTATTTTATTTAACCCTCGCAAAATTCTGAGATTGGTTTTATTTTTATCTCCGTTTTACAGATGAGGAAACCATTGCACAGAAAAGTTAAATAACTTTCCCAAGGTTACATAACTGGGAAATAGAAGAACTTAGGTTTAGGTACATGAATTTTGGCTCCAGTCTGTGCATTTAACCACTTCCTATACTACACTATTTAATTAATCTTCTCCAGCTCCCCCGTAGCTTGTTTTTTCATGACTTTGAAAGCATTTATGCATCTTGATTCTCACAGAAATCTTGATCTAGGTAAGATAGGTATTATTATTAGTGTTATTTACAGTTGAGGGATCATCTGAAGGAGAGAGCTAACTATCTAAAAGGTATTAGAATCTGGTCTCCGATTCAGCCATTTAAAGCTGTTGTTTATTTTACTCTACCATACTGCTTCCAAGAGAAGTGGACTTTGCAGACTTGTAAACATGGTTTTGAATTCTGGCTCTGGCTAATAATTGGTTGAGTAATTTTGTGAAGTCACTTCTCTTGACCTCAGTTTTCTCATCTGTAAAATGGAAATAATACTGTCTTCCTGTCTCGTAGGCTATTGTTAGGCTTGTGGAGGCTATTTTTTTTTGCTTATTAAAAAGAAATAGTGAAAGCTGGGTTTGGTGGTGTGTGCCTATAATCCCAGTGGCTCAGGAGGCTGAGGCAAGAACTTGTGAGTTTAAAGCCAGCCTCAGAAACTTGTGAGGACATCAGCAACTTAGCCAGCCCTGTTTCAAGATAAAACATAAAAAGGGGAGGGAATGTAGCTCAGTTTTTAAGCACTGCTGAGTTCAGTCTCCAGTACCAAAAACCCCCCACTATAACCATGCTTTATGTCTTGAGACACTTTAAATACCCCTTTGCCTTGAATTAGGTATAGAAAATTGTTTCCTCTTCATTCCTATAATTCTAAAATAACTCCTTTAATCAATTCTTTCTCTTTTCTTTAACACTTTCATAGCCATTCATATGCTTCCACTCATACACTGGACGGTTGGCATTCATGGATAGTCCTTGATCCTTATTTTCTCCAGTGTGATCATCCCTTTCACCAAAAAATATTGACTTGCGTTAGAAACAAATAAAAATGAACAAAACCTCTACAACAATAAAAATGACAGCTTATTCTTTTTTTTCTTCAGTTAAATCTTAAGAGTTTAGTTTGTCTTTCCTCACTTCAGATTGTTTTTTGAAGTAGATAGGGAAGACCATAAATAAAGCAAAATAACCTTTTTTTTTTTTTTTTCATCTTAACTAGTATCTGTTCAAGTTTCCATGCTTCTCAGTTAGCAAGAAAGCAGACAACCAGAGAGGATGAGAAGGAAAGGAAACAAAGAATATAAATGTGTTCCATATCTGGATAACTTTTATGCTAAAATATGTGGTAAAACACACATAAAATTTACCATCTTAGCCACTAAGTGTACGTATAGTTCTGTGGTATGAAGTAAGTTTATGCTGTTGTGCAACCATCACCACCGTCCATCTCTAGAACCCTTTTTATATTGCAAAACCTGAACGCATTTAAAAAAGATGTTGAAATGTTTGAAGTCTGTTCCATGGAAGTAGGAACGTGGGTGGATTTAGGAGCCTTGCATGTCTGTGATGGGAACATTGCTCAGTCTTTTACAGTTTTTGGAGGTGTCAGAAGTTGTCAGCAAGGTCACTAGAATTATCAGAAGACCAATCTGAAGGCTTATTGGCTTTTAGTGAAAATCTGAAAGAATATATCTAGTGTATTGAATCGGGGACCTCTAGGCAGCTAGCCTCTGTCTCAAGAGGAGAAAGATAAGGGTGGAATGAAAGCCAGTTCTGCTGCCTTCCCATATTCAGTTTGATGAATGTTTCTATGAGAAGAAATTGAAGCCTCTTGAAGTGTTTGCAAACAATCTTTTCTTCTTCTCCTCCTCCTCCTCTTCCCCCTCCTTTTTTTTTTTTTTTTTTTGCAGTGCCGGGGATGGAACCCAGGGCTTTGTGTATTCTAGGCCAGTGCTCCAAACTGAGCTACACCCCAACCCTGCAAACAGTCATTTGAAGGTGTCACTAAAGCCTGGAATATTATTGCTTTCCTTGTTTTGAGCTGAAATTGTGAAGAAAACATGTTTTATGCACACTTCTTCCAATGGAATTCATCAGAATGTTGTTTAGTTTTTGAACTGATGATCTGAGATTTCTTTTGGCTCTAAAATTCTGAGATTTCTTTTAAGATTTATGACTTACAAAAAAAAAAAAAAAAAAACAAAAAAAAACAAACAAAAAAAAAAACCGACGCTAGGTGCAATGGTGCACACCTGTAATCCCAGTGGCTCAGGAGGCTAAGGCAGGAGGATCTCAAGTTCAAAGCCAGCCTCAGCAAATGGCTAGGTGCCAAACAACTCATCGAGACCTTGTCTCTAAATAAAATACAAAATAGGGCTGGGAATTTGGCTCAGTGATTGAGTGCTTCTGAGTTTGATTCCTTGCCCCCCCCCCCCCCCCCCAAGAAAAAGAAATTGATGTTCATATGCACAGTTCTTTTAAATCTAAAGAATGAATGTCGGACATAGGAACTGATTATAATCTATAAGAACTGGAGTGTAGTTGATAGTGTCCAGAGATTTTTACATTGACCAGAAGATACATGTAAATACATTTGGAATACAAAAGTACTTGTGATAATAAGGAAGAATGGTAGCTCTATGGTTATATAACTCATGTGGCTGCTGGAATGTTCTGGTTTCCTTTTTTTTTTTTTTTTTAAGTATATAATTCAGTGGCATTAATGACATTCACATTCACAGTATTATGCAACTATCACCCCATCACCATTATTGATTTCCAAAACTTTTTCATCACTGCAGACAGAAACTCTTAACTATTAAGCAATAACTCCCTAGTATTCACTTTTTCAACTCCTGGTAACCTTTAATCTACTTTATGCCTCTATTAGTTTGTCTCTTCTAGATGTTTCATGTGAATG